CTGAGCACTATAGGAGTAACCCACTATAGGGCTGCTCCTTCAAGTAGTGTCAAGGTGTAGCATATTTTGTCGTCATCGTGTTCTTGGTTCTACCCTACTGCATTGAAGTATGTGAGAAGTTGGACTATAAATCCTCGTAGTTTACTTCTTTCCCCATGGTATCTGGGTGGTGTTTTGACTTTTGGCTTCTGATCTCTGCTTCGGTATTCTTCTCGTATCATCTGTTGCACTTCCTCTCGCGTGAACAGGACTGGTTCTGCTGGTGGTGGACCAGGTGGTGGTGTGGGTCCTGACATTCTCTCAGGTCTTGGTGTTTCTGGAGTTTCTTCTGGTAAGGGTGGAGTGATTGGTTCTGGAGTGACGGGACTTGTCAATCTTGCTGCGTTTTGACTTGCTTCACTAAGCGCTTCTTCCAATCCTCCTAATCCTAGACTGTCGTCTTGGACGTCTATGTCTCCCTCATGATCTCTGTTGAAAGGATCCGTGGTGTATTCGTTAAGTGTCGTGTTGTAGACACGTTCTAATGTTAAGAATCCTACCGAGTAGGACCTTGCGACAGGTAACGATACTTCTCTGTAAGATGATAGTTCTCAGGCCTGTGCCTACGCGATCCCGATAGTCCAGTCCTTTGACTACTATCGTATTCGCGCCTATCTTCTTATACTTCTTGAGTCCTTTACTTAGGACTTAGTCGTTCGACGTGGGAGGAGAAATAGTTTTCTCGCTTGAGAGGAAAGACAATTCTTAGGTTTCTTAAGATAAATCTTAAAGAGCATAAAGGTAGGTTTTATTGATAATAACTTAGAGGTAGGAAATAAACAAGAAGAACGTATGAAGAGCTAATACTTAGGGGTTGTAGTGAACCTTTATATAGTAGCTCTTCACCTGGCGTGACTCATACTTATGTGTCACGCGAACCTTGTGACTCATAACTATGAGTCATGCAAAATCCATCAGCCGACTCCTATGAGTCGCTGCGCAACATGCCTAAAACCAATCAAACAATAATTACCAAGTCAGGTGCGCAACTTGCGTCACCTGAGTGAAACCCATGACTCGTAAATGTGAGTCATGTGCGAAAATCATAACATCGTGTGATTCACAGCTGTGAGTCACGAACAGGTAAACCTAATAATCTATGGCGCACTAGTGTGTGTCATGTGAAATCCCAACATACCTATAACTCAGAAATCCGAGCTATGAGAAATCTGCCTTCCTTAGTCACAGTTTGTGACAATTCTCAGCATTCACAGGTTTTATGGGCGGTAGGTTTGCTACATCCAGAAAACTTCCTGATACCTTTATCAAGCCAGCTGGGAGAAGGTTTCCAACTGTGGCATGTGAGACCAGGTAGGCTGAGTCCCATAAAGACTTAATACAGGATGCTCGATCATGGCTTCTACATACCAACAGGGAGACATGCCTTGTTATTGTCATTTCCTTTACTGAAAATCATCCTAGAACCAGAGGAGCTGCCGCCAATCATGACAGTGAACTGAGTAATAGTAGCAGGGCCAGCCAGACAACTGAGAAAAGTGTGCTGGATAGTATTCATGATAAAACCAATCTTAATGATTTGGTAGAATGGCTATTGAAGCTGAATCAGCAAGGCAAGCTACAATGCAAATTGGTTGGAAAAATTAATGCTAGCCTCCATGTTTATAGAGCAGGTAACAACGTGGTAGATGGCATTGCCAAATCCTGTGCTACAACTTTACTTCTATCTCCACCTGAGGATAGTGCCACACCAGATGCATTCGGGATTACCTTGAAGGATCTGTTAAGAAACAGTGTCCCAGAGGAATACCAACTCAATAAAGAAATTAGATTGGCCTTAGCCGATCTACAGGAAGTTTTGCAAAGCTCGATTCCTGACACTGAACGCCTTACGGCTACTGACCGCACCATCAAGCTTCTGAAGTCCACTTCTAAGTTGGATTATGAGGAAACATTTATGTAATGAAAACTGCAGCAGCCGACTTCTGTCGGGGTATGGAAACTACTATCCTCCCTTGATCCGGTCTCCTGCTTGACCAAACGCCCTCCTTCGTCCTCCATTTACCTCTTTGTATCCTTTTCACCTCCCATCTTCTTCCTTCCAACTCATTTCCCTTCTCTTGTCCTCTCCTATATGTCTCTTCTGCTTTACCATTCTACTACTTCTTCCTTCCTACTCTCATTGTCCTGCTTTCCTTCTCTTCCACCTTCGTATTCATCTATTCAAGTTCTTCCATGACAGGGTCGGGTTGGAAGTGTCAGCAGCATGGGCCACTAAATACTCCTCTAGTGGTTGGGAATGTGTCTCTTTCTTAGTTTTGCGTTGCTCCGAATTCTCTCTTTTATCATATGTATAATGACTTTTGCTCTTCGGGAATTGCGATACAGTAGTCCAAACCCTGAAGTAGGTTTTCGCAAAGGGCTTAGAAAAAGGTTGGGTGGGAAACTTGGATGACAAGAACAGTGGACTACCTCAGTGCAAAGCTGGATATCAAAATTAGCTTTGAGAAAGTTGAATGGATTTCCCCTTTGCACTTTCTTCTCAAAGAAATCATGCTGCTAAATTCCTTTCCGCTGTCGCTCAATATGAATGCCCTTCTCAATTCTATGGTGGCCAAGCCCGCCAGAGATCCCGGTTGCTGGGGAAAGGTTGCTGGAATGTGGTAGGGGGGCTATTTGTATTATGCCTCATTTTCTTTCCTTAGATTGTACTACTGTAGCAGAGGATAATCCTACAGCCCCATGTACAGTAGAATTTCATAAATGTCGGAATTGGGCTAGTGAAGATTTTCTTGGTGATGTTTTCCCGAGTCGCCCCAATCTCCAGTTTGGATATCTCTGGCATGCAAGGCATTGATATTTTATTTCCATCCATGCGTAGAGTTTGTGTTCCCCAGATTACTTGATATCCATGGATTGACCTCGGCATAGTGTTGCCATCTCAATGGAGACATCACCCTATCTCATCATCTAGAACACCAATTACAATCCCCCCACAACAAGCGACGCCACCAGTGTGTTCATACTACAATCCACCTTGACCCGCCTAGCCACTAGCGCTCCCCCGGGGTTTGCCGCCAACACCGAAACGCTTGAGGACGTGCTTAGACTAAGGCACCAACGGTCAGCCTTGGGCATCTAAGAGAATTACACAAATATTGTGTGGCGCTGGCGGAACTGCGGGGGCGCCAGGCCGCCGAGAAATTACAACCTTTTCGGACCAGCGGGGGTGGGGGGGGGGGGGGGCACAAGG